ATAGCACTGACGAGTACTATTAGCAAAATTGTAGAAAAGTGTCTTAGAAGTAAACTAATATCATTTTTGAAAAAAAAATAAGCTTTAAACATAAATCAATATTATGCATTAAAGAAAAACTCTAACACTGAGAATGCTCTTGTGAGGGTGACAGAAAAAATATGGAGGGTCCTTGACCAGGGGAAAAAAGTTATGGGAATTTTCTTTGACCTGAGAAAGACTTCCGACACTGTGGCTCACCATATTCTACATGACATGACAGAGGAATGCCAAATGAACTGATTGAAGAACTGAAAAAATCATCTGATAAAAAGAAAGTTAGTTACAAATGTATCAGGGTATGGTCCTCTCAATTTTGTTATTAGATGTATATGTTAATGAAATAATGGAACAGCTTCAATAAGGTGACATTTATTGCACAGTGCAATTATAATAAGCGGGGGGAATGGGATTTAGTGTAACAGAAGGCTAAAAGAGCACTACAAAAAGTTAAAATATGGTTGGACATGAGTTTACTCTCTCCGAATACTGACAAAACCAGCTTTGTTAACTTCTCACTTTCCAAGCGTACCCTGCCTGAAATGCAACACCTTAGAGTTCATGATCCACAATGCAAATTGGACATGCGATGTAAGTGTGATAACCTCATTGAAAGAAAAACATCGATAAAATATCTAGGGGTCATATTGGATGAAAATCTGAATTGGAAAGAACATGTTAATTATGTAGCTGCAAAGGAAAGAAATAGTATATTACATGACGAGGTGGAGATTGTTTCATTATTGTCGAGAGATACTTTGGTTGACCGAGGTGCGAAGCGCCGAAGTCAACCAATTCTCGAGATAAATATATGAAAATTTTCTACCGAAATATGTATACTATTTTATTTTGAACCATTAATTATTGGAAAAAAATAAGATAAAAATATGACAAATATGGAATTTCGACTGACACTCTAACACCGATATTGACACCTTATGAAATTTCAACAATATACGCACATGTGACGTCTACTTCTAAATACAAATATTGCACCTGAATTTATGTTCAGGTGTGAAAGAACAATTTATCAGGGCTAAAAGTGAGTCCTCCAGGCCGAAAGTGACAGAAGATCTGTCACTTTCGGCCTGCTTTAAAGTAAACTGTAAAGTGACAGTTTCGAACCTTCACACCAGTAAGAAATGAGAAAATTACATAGGTATATGATTTAAAATAATAGTATATTACATACGGAGGTGGAAAGTGTTTCATTATTGTCGAGAGATACTATATGTGAAAACTTTCCACCGAATTATGTATACTATTTTATTTTGAACCATTATTTATTGAAAAAAATAAGGTGAAAATATGACAAAAATGGAATTTCGACTGACACTCTGACATCGACATTGACATCTAATGAAATTTCAACAATATAAACACATGTGACATCTACTTCTAAATACAAACATTGCACCTGGATTTGTGTTTAGGTGGGGAAGAACAATTTTATCAGGCTGAAAGTGGGTTCTCCAGGCCAAAAGTGACAGGAGAACTATCACTTGCGGCCTGCTTTAAAGTAAACAAAAGTAAAGTGACATTTTCGAACCTTCAAACCAGTAAGAAATGTGGAAATTACATATATGGTTCAAAATAAAATAATTAACAAGTTTTATGAGTTAAGAATTATGTTACAATTTAGAACACCAAAAATGATTTACTTTTCTTTGGTTGAATCTATTATTAATGATGGGTTGGCTGTTTGGGGTAATGCAGGCTCAAAAATACTTTCAAAACTAAGTGTCGTTCGAGGTGAAAAAAAAAGGACGGGTCTAGAGAACGCACTCTAAGGACAGATAGGAGATACTAATAAATCTGATAAGGTTGCAGTGGTAGAGGACGCCTCTGCGCCATCTCCATTCAAACAAATCTACAAATAGGTGGATAATAAAAATCATCCTTTTCAAAAAGAAAAGATACCCAAGTGACTTTGTTTATAAAGAAAGTGGCCCCCTAACCATAGACCAAATGTATAATAAATCTGTGGTAAGGTTCATGCGTAAGAATTCTTACTACAAAGAGAACATAGAGCATGGTCTAAATACTAGGAGTAGTGCACAAGGAAAAGTAGAGCTGCAGAACCCAAAACATATACAACCTGTCAGATCCACATACATATACTGTGTTGGCTCGAAGGTATATAATGATTTGCCTAGTAGTATTAGGGAAAAAAAGTATCAAAGGGCTAAGGGGGAAATAAATAAATGTATAGTGGATGGTGGGTATAAAATTAACATTGTTACATAGGGAATAGGTAGGGGTATGAAGCTTTATTTTCTGAGTAGAATGTTTATTAAGTAGGTATTGAAAGTGTTATTTATTAGTATATTACTGTACTGTTGTTGTTATGCTTATTATAATTTTATTTTTAATTTTTTTAAATATTGTAATGGTTTATAGCTGTTGACTTGTTAGAGTAGTAGAGTAAAGGTAGATAATCTCAACTTACCTAGTAAGTTTAATTTATCAAGGAAACCAGGTGCACACACAGTATTCTAAGTACTATAGTGCACCGTACCTTATTTAGCAGGGGTAGGAAGATAGAGAGGATCTGCTACAGCAAGGGTTATTGCTGTAAGGGTTTCTTTTATTTATTTGTATCCACATTAAGTTGTAGTATATTTGTGTACTTTGTGAACTATTGCTGAATAAATAAATAAATAAATAAATAAATATTGTTTTTGTGTGGCACAATCTAAGGTTATTGTTTGCTAACAAGGACTTAACTAATGATTGATCTCACCGCCCTTAACAGGTCAAAAACTGTCTTTTTATACTGCTAACGCTCAACTTGAGTTTTAGAATAGTCACAAATAGAGTTTAACATGCCTTTAGTAAAAAGTCACAGCCATTCAGCTAAAAAAATAAGGGCCACACTATTTATCTATTCTATAATGTGTGGTCTATACCCAAAACCATTGGTCAAACTTCAGATTATTTAACTCATGCCTTAGTTGTGATCAACTCGCAACTAAGGGCCATATGAACTCAATGTTGATAGAGAAAGTATTAATCACCTTTCAAAAGATGAATGTGGAACCCTATCGAAAATTATCATAAAAAAAAATAAAAACTCAATTTGAAGCAAATCAAATTTTTTCATATTTTCAACTCATATAAGGGCCATAAGTGACCTAAAACCGTACCTAACGATTTAAAAAAAAAATGTAAACAATGTTGATAGAGAATGTATAAATCACCTGTCAAAAGATGAATGTGGAACCCTATTGAAATTTATCAGAAAAAAATAATAATTTTTTTTCAACTCATCAGTGCAGGTTACCACCAATTGTGAAATTGAGCCTAAGGTTTTTCCTGTCTGTATCCAGAAAACCCAGAGAAGCTCATGGAGATTCTTCCAGAGGTTAACATCAAAAACTAATGAGCGAGATATCAAATACAAAGAAGAAATTCCATAGTCCAGAAATGATTATTTTTGCTCTATGCAGAATGAAAGTGGCTCTAGGACTTTAAAGATGGTTTCAAGTCCATAGGAACTTTCTAAGAGTAGAGATCAGTTCAAGTGAAACAGCAAACTTTATCGCGATGATTCTGAAATCAAAAAACAATTCAGTAAGAGTATAGAAGAAATCTTAGAAATGGTAACAAACCAAGAAAAAGAACAAATTGATATGGAACATTCAAATGAATATTTGTAATGATTGTTGCAATAAAAGAGGTTTAAGACAAATATGCACCACAAAAACCTAGAGGAAATGCGTTGAATAATGCTACAAAAGATGTGTGAAGGAATCACTATCAGCAAACAAGAAAAACTTCTGTAAATTGCAGATAACTTTTACAAAATAATAATTACATTACATATTGTTGGTTGAATTTTCTTTAGACTTTAATCTCTCACATCAAATACCTACACCTTATCTTTGAAGATACCCAGAATTCACTTAGACCATCGCTTACTTTTATATCCATAATAAAAATCTGTACCATAAATTCAAAGTTGCATTTATATAGAGGAGCCATAAAGATTGTAAGTTCTAAATACCGCAAGGGCCAAAACAAATAAGATAAAAACAAGTTGTTTTACTTGGCAAGCAATGTTTGGTTTGCTCTAAAATTAATTCAACAATTTTGTAATGTGAATGCAAATATTGCATACCTACATTTTCTCAATAAAATTTGAATTAATTATTAAATAAATTTACCGTAATGGTAGCAAACTAAAAATGATATAGTAATTCCTATGCAATTAGTAGGTATTACAAACAATAGGAATTTATTAAAAGGTTATTAACTTTTGCCTGCTGGATTATAAATAGTGAACAAAGGGTTAAAGAAAGGTATTTAGTAATTAGAAAATTTTCACTTAAAGCTCTTTACCAGACAAAGCACGTCTTTAGATAAGTAAAAATCGAATACCATGTCGTCTGTCTTTTTAATGTGTGTCAATAGTTTTAACCTCTTTTTACGGTAGGCTCGCGCACAAAACAAGGTATTCTTCGGTTTAATAGATTTGTAGTGTAACTAATTGCATTTTGTCACATTTTTCAAGCAATGTTTTCTTAGATTTACACAGAAAGCACGCATTGTCAACACCACAACTTAACAAGTTGACAGATGTATTTTTGTTGCTCTGTTAATAAATAATAATTTTTCTTTTGATTGATTAATAATAAAACACTTCCTTTAAAATTAAACTTAAAATTCAACTCTTGTTTTTTACATACATAGTAGAAATGAGTATCAAGTTGGAATACCTAATAAGACTTACATGTCTCATGTGGTGTACAAGAATAAATGTTCGTATTGTTCATATCATTTATTTTGTTTTTATACCCGACTTCATGGGTGACATAAGGTGCATTTTAATCATTTTGTGCCATATTTGAACATGTCTTTATTTATTTCATTCTTGATATTCTAATGTCCTTGCAAATGCGAATATTGTTTTTTGTACTGTATATAAGGGACAATAATATTTATCCTTTTACTTTACTTACCTTATAAGTCCTGACAGCCAAAAAAGTCCAAGCCAATATTGGTTCTGAAACAAAAAACTTTCATTAAAAAATCTATACCAAATACCTAGGTAATCAGCCATTAAATTATTCATAATTATCCTTCATAAAAACCAAAACTAATTCAGAAATCATGATGGGAAATGATTTCCGCGTGACCCTAATTTCTATCTCGATTTGATATCCAAATCGATAAAAGATTAGCAGTTTGGGTACTTTTACGTTTTACGCACGAAATTCTATGATTCACGAACGATCTTGTTTTTTTTTCTAGCGGATGCCGAAGATGGAAAGGAGGTTAAGTGTTCAAAAAACACAAAATTAAGATTCATTTTCCCGTAATGACGGTTGCGATTGAATGGATGTGATTATGTCGGATGGGATTTCTCAAGACATAGTCAATAAGTTGGATTTAGGAAGATGGAACAAAACATTTTTCAATTTGAGCCTCAGGATCATGGGCCATTTGTTCCAAAAAAAAACCGCCAGCAATTCTTGAATTGCTGTTCAATTTCTCTAAAGGCAATCAATCAAGAGTCGGGAATAGTTCAAATTTTGAATTATTACCAGTTTCTGATGCATGGGACAATTTGAACTATTTCTTCCAGAAAAAATCTACAGCAATTTATTATCCAGTAGTGATTCAAAATTTGGACTATTCTAGGCTCTTCAATCACTGTTCAATTGTTCTAAAGGGAATGGAAAAAGGAAATTCAAGAATTTGACAGAGGAAAAATGGGATAGAAAATCTGACAAATATTGAAAAATTAAAAGAGGAAATTGAGAAAAAATTTAGAAGAAATTTGTTTTCTCGATTTCAGACTCCTGCACTTTGTTCATCAAGATATTTGGAAAAACAGAAATTCAAAAGCAAGGAATAGACAAAAATTGAGACGTAAAAAGCAAGGAAAAAAAATAATAAGAGTTTGATAAATATAGACAAAATATTGGGAAAAACTTTAGAGAAGAATGGTTAAAAAGTAGGAATATACCTAAGTAGGTATTTTCTATATTTCAGACTCTTGAGGTTTTTTTTTTTTTTCTTTGGAAAAACCAGAAATTCAAGAACCGAGAATAGACAAAATTTGAAACTGGAAAAATGGGATAGCAAATTCAAAAAAAAAATATTGAGAAATCGGAAGAGGAAAAATTAGTTGAAAAGTGGCAGTCAGAAGTATTTTCTTTATGCCAGGCTTTCAAGTTCTCTTTATTTAGGGAAATTTGAAAAAAACAGGAATTTGAGAATGGGGAACAGACAAAACTTGAGACGAAAAAAATAAGAGATAAAATTTAATAAACTTGGAGAAAATAATAATTCAAGAGCCTAGAATAGACGAATACCAAAGCAGAAAAATTGAGAAATGGAGCGAGAAAATTTAGAAAGATTAGAAATTAGAAGTTGAGGCAAAATTGAAAAGAAATTGGTTTTATAGGAAGTTGAGGCAAAAATTGAACAGAAATTGTTTTTTTTTATTTTTTTAGTAGATTTTGAAAAGTAAGGAAAAATTGGTTGAAAAGTAGGAGTAGGAAGTATTTTCTTCTTTCCCAGGCTTTCAAACTCTATTTAGAGAAATTTGAAGAAAATAAGGATTTGAGTATCGGAAATAGACGAAACTTAAGACGGGAAAAATGAGAGATAAAATTTATTAAATCTGGAAAAAACAATAATTCAAGAGCCTGGAACAGATACAAATTGAAGCAGAAAAATGGGGAAATGGAGAGAGAAAATTTGAAAGAAACTAAGAAATTAATAGAGGAAGATGAGGCAAAATTGAGAAGAATTTTTTTAAATTTTTTTGGTAGCTTTCGAAAATTGAGGGAAAATTGGTTGAAAAGTAGAAGAAGTAGGAAGTATTTTCTCCATTCCAGGCTTTCAAACTCTCTTTATTTAGAGAAATTTGAAGACAATAGGAATTTGAGAATCGAAAATAGACGAAACTTAAGACGGGAAAAATAAGAGATAAAATGTAATAAATCTGGAAAAACCAATAATTCAAGAGCCTAGATCAGATAAAAATTAAAGCAGAAAAATTGATAAATGAAGAAAGGAAATTTGAGAAAAACTTAGAAATTAATAAAGGAAAATGAAGCAAAATTGAGAAAAAATTGGTTTAATAGGAAGTTGAGGCAAAATTGAGAGGAATTGTTTTTTTTTATTTTTTTAGTAGCTTTTGAATAGTGAGGAAAAATTGGTTGAAAAGTAGGAGTAGGAGTAGGAGTAGGAAGTATGTTCATCAATCCAGGCTTGCAAACTCTCCTTAGAGAAGAGAAATTTTAAGACAACTGGAATTTGAGAATTGTAAATAGACAAAACTTAAGAAAAGAAAAATGAGAGATAAAATTTGGAAAAACCAATAATTCAAGAGCCTGAAACACATAGGCGCCAGAATCATGGAGGCAATGGGGGCATGAGCTCTCATAGTAAATTTTCTATGGGGGCGGAGCCCTCAAAGTGATTTAGGTATTATATGTAGTGGGTGAATAAGACAATATTGGGTTCCTATTTATTTTTATATCAAATTTGTGTTTTTACTATACCTACATTAGCTAACAGTTTTTAAACCTGTATTTTCACTAAGTCGTTTATTATCTCTTTTCTGTTTGTTTTCATGATAGGTATGTTTACATCACATGAATATATCATGATGTATCAATACACTGGTTTTTTTACCTAGTGTATCATGGAAAAAATTTCAAAAATTCGCTGAGGGCGAACCTATAATCCTATCGAGCTGAAATTTTGTACGAATCTAATGGAGTACGATTCGTATGAAATTTGGAATATAGGTGAAAGGGGTCCAGAAAAGTTGATATTCCAAGTTTCAGCCCTCTCCGACCTACCGGAGGGATTTTAGCCCCTATCCCCCAGTGATGCCAGGTCTGGTGAAATTTCACCAGATCTGGTGATTTTATGAAAAATCTGGTGATTGGTGAAAAACTTTTTGAAAAATAACAATAGACCTATCTATTATTACCTGTATGCGCGCGCAACACGAGGCAATCGATTTTTATTGGCTAACTAGTACAGGTGTGAAGTAATCCTTTTGCACGCTGGGTATCTCCTTATCCTTGTTCATTGCCCGTGGTCTGACAAGAATAAAATTATGCTTGATATTCAACTTGACGTAGCTTGACAAGTGATCGATTTTCAATTGTTTGTGTTTTTGATTGACAAATACGTTGCACGTCACGCGGTTTTCCTCCTTCCTTTTTTATCCCGTGCAAATAATAAGAACGAATTGCTATACGTAAGTCTAACATAATTTGGTACGTTTTGCCTCGTCTTGCACAATAAGCGTTCTGCGTCTTTTTCTATCTAATAAAGTTTTCGTATTATTACCTCTTTGTCTGGTAAAATAGATAGGTCTATTTCTGGTGATTTTCAAATCAATTTTGAATATTTTTAACAATGGCATACACTTTATAAACATCCCTCGTAATTTATTAAGGTTTTACTTCAATAACATACAAATTACATTTATTTGACAGCAAAGCAAATAGGTACCCATAAGTGGAGTGTGAGGTCCTTTGATTTTTATACATATAAATTTGTATTCGTTCTTTTTATATATTTATATTTTTCCCTTTTTATATTTCAATTTCTGTTTATTCCAGGCTCTTGTTGCTATTTGCCGGTTATTTTTCAAGTTGGCAACATGTATTTTGTTTGGCCAGTGGCGTTGCTTATGGGGGGTTTCAGTCAAACCAATCGAAAACTCGAAATATTTATTTTTAATATTTTCGGCGGGTTTCAATCAATCGAAAAAAATTCCAATATCACTTTCAAAATGGCGATTTCAAAAAGCTAAAAAATCTCAATTTTTTTGTTCTGGAAATTTTTTCAAATCTTGACAAGGTTAGTAATAATGGCCAATATCTTCAAATAAATTTGAACAAATCGAAACAAATTATATATGGTTGGAAAGAGCATTAAATTCTCTATAAATCCATGCTACATTGGTTCTGATAACTCGAATACTTTCTGAGCAATTGGATCTCAAAGTTAAGTTTTAGTCCAAGTTTTATCAAAAATTTCAAACTCGATTTTCTCGAAAACCATAAGAGCTAGCGATTTTAACTAAATACCATTTTAAAGCCCTTGTCAAAAGTTACATTTCCTGAAAATTTTAATTCAAAATCTGTAATAGATTTTAAGATATCCAAGATCAAATATTTTGAAATAAAAATCTGAAGGGGTAACCATTTGAAAAATTCGAAATTTTTATTGTTCATATTTATTGAATTTTGATTTGATTTTCCAATCGATAGAGCGGGTCTAAATTAGTCGAAAAAAACTCTAACATCATTACCAAATCTTGATTATAACACAGAAATTAAAAAGAAAATGTCAATTATTAGGTTTAATTTTTTTTTGAATCCTGACAAGGTTAGGAGCAACTGCCAATACTTCTATTAAATTTTGAGCAAATCAAAATAAATTATATATGGTTGGAAAGAGCATCAAATTCTCTATAAATCAGTGCTAGATTGAGTTTGATAACTCAAATACTTTTGGAGCAATTGAACCTCAAAGTTGGAATTTAGTTGAAATTTAGTCATAAACTTCAAACTCGATTTTCTCAAATACCGTAAATGCCAGCGAGTTCAACTAAGTACCATTTTGAAGCCCTCATCAAGGGCTACAATTTCAAAAATTGATCCAAAATCTTTGAGGGCTTTCGAGAAAATTGAGTTGGAAAATTTTGAAATTATAATCCAAAGGGGTTTAACATTTTGATAAAATCGAAATTTTTATTTTTAAGATTTTTTGAATTTTGACTTTTCCAAACGATAGAGCGGATCTAAATTAGTCGAAAAAAACTCTAACATCATTTCCAAATCTCGATTTCAAAAGGGAAAAAAAATCAAAAAAAAATCTCAATTTTCAGATCTAATTTTTTTTAAAAATCCTGACAAGGTTAGGAGCAATTGCCAATACTTCCATTAAATTTTGAGCAAATCAAAATAAATTATAAATAAATAAATAAATAGATAAATAAATAAATGTTTATTAACGGACCAGCCA